ACTTACTTCGAATAGGTCTGCGTATTCTGTATAAATATTCTTGAGATATATGAAAGAAATACAACTTTTTCAGCCATTTATCAATTATTATCTCATGGATTGGTCTGTCCAAAGGACCAATCAATCATCTTGGATGTGATTTCTGCTTAATTTTAGAAAAGTGTTGATTAATTAAAATGTATGAATATTTTAATATTTCCTTTAAATATCTTAAATGTTGTTTAAAGTTAAGCACCTGTTAGGCTATAGTTTTACTGGGTTGGCCCCAGGGATTGAGGTGTGGGGATAAAAGTGAGATTCTTCTCAAATTTCTGACACCAAAAGAGTTCCATACCTGACAAGTTGTTTTGTTGTGTCTTCTCCAATAAATTTACAAAATAAATTTTTTCCCTCATTGGTTAACTGATAACAGAACAGGTAAAATTATTTGTTAAATAATTTGTTTTGGAATTTTATCCCATCCTTGAATTAATTATGAAGTTGAATTTATTTATTTCTTCTTTTTCTTTTTGGTTTTGTTGTTGTCAATCATTTGGGGCCAAATCAAGCCATTGAGAATGAGAACACGAAGTCAAGTATGGAGAAACCACTTCATTCAAATAAATCTTAGGATTATGGCTGTTGTCAGGCTATCATTGTTGGCATTTTAAATAGTTAGGACCGACAATGGGCAAGAGACATTTTCCCTTTAAAATAATGGCCACAATTTTAGAGTCCTTTTGTTTAGTAAAAAACATTCGAGCTATCCGGAATAATGTGGAATAAGCCAATGTTAAGGGCCCATTTGGGGGAGCTTCCTTATATCAGAATTCCTTCATTAAAAACGCCTTCATAAAAGGAATTTTGTTGGATGGAATCGTGGAATTCATGGGAAAAAAAAAAAAAAAGACGTTTGGCGAGTGCATTTCTTAAATTTATTTATCTTGACAATAATATCCCTTATCCTTTGTAATTATTGCAAGCCTCCAACAATAAGTGCAAAGCCGGCAGTGGTGGATGGTGATGGTAGTGGAAGGAGATGGCGGTGGCTGTGGTGGTGGTGGTGGTGGTGATGGTGGAGGGTGGAAAGTGGTGGTGGTGGTGGTGGTGGTGGAAGGTGGCGGTGGTGAAGGAATGAAGGACCAAGAGAGAATATAGGACAATCTTATCAATCTATGAATATTAGATGGACAAATTCGTAAAATAACAAATTTACCCTAAAAAAAATTTGGCTTCCCAAAAGGAGGTTTCAAATGAAATATTTTCTTCTTTGAAATGGACTTCCTCACCATATGTGTAACCAAATGACACAATTTAAAAAAAAAATGCTTTTGGAACTTGGAAGGACTTTTTGAGGCCTCAAGAAGCTCCCCAAAACGGGGCCTAAATCTTTGCCACATTCAGTACTCTAAGTGTCCAAATTGATCATACAAGCACTGAGTAGTGAATTCGAAGCATCAATACAATTGTGAAAATACATCTACTTCGAAAAAAGTTAGAAATAATAGGAGAAAAGACTTGTAATAGAAAAAAGTGGAAAAAGGGAATTTCTGCAGCCAACCTTATTTGTATGAAATTAAGGCAAGGATTAAGATATCTTGATTTAAGAAATTAAAAATTTATAGAGCTATAGATCCAACATTTTTTCTGTAAGATCCAACATTTTTTTCTATAAGTTGTATTATTGCTAAATTATTCATACCACTTTTCCTCAAGTGAAGAAGAAATGTAAATCTCACGTTTTTGGATCTTGTAATATGTTGTTGGCACCATTTTCACTCGCTTTGGTCTCAATTTCATTTTTAACTCGTCACATGAAAAATGGGGTTTTACGTGATGGAAGGTGTTGGAGCTTGATATAATATTTTGGGTTTACTATAATAGCTTAAGCATTTGGGACAATTGGTAATCTAACATGGTATAGAGGTCTAGTATATCTTTTTTTATTTTTTCGTATTGGGATGTCTTGTGTTAAAGTCTCTATATATGCTTTTTTGTTTCACATTTTGGTTTGTAATTTTGCACATTGTTGTCGTCACAGTTTGATCTGCTTGACTCGCTATGTGCAAGATGAGGTTGCACGTATGGGAGGGTGTTGGAGCTTGATATATATTGTTGGGACTATTCTCTAATAACCTAAGGTTTCGAGACAAGTTGTAGTGATAGCACACAATTGAAAATGTTCTATAGTTTCTACAGCTTCCATTATTCTCTTTCATGGAATGTCCGACTCAGTTAGAAGAAAAGTTGTGAAGTTGGTTATTCATAAAGGTGGTGGTCATGTTGTGTGTCTGCAGGAAACCAAGATTGCAAAGATGACAGACTTGATTGTTTGAAGCTTATTGGGGTGGGGCGTGGCGGAGATTTGTTGAGTGGATTGCGTTGGATATGATTGGTTCTTCGGGTGGCATTCTTATTTTGTGGGATAACCGATGGGTTTCTCTGGTTGATTTTCAAGTTGGGTCTTTCTCTGCTTCTTGTGTTCTCTCCTTGGTGGAGGATGGATTTCGTTGGGTTTTTTCTGGTGTCTATGGTCCTACAGAGGATAGCGTGCGCCATTTGCTTTGGGATGAGCTAGGAGAGGTTCAAATGAGATGGTCATTGTCTTGGTGTATTGGAGGGGATTTTTAATGTTGTTCGTTCTCCTTTCGAGAGGTCGACAGGGGGTAGGTGGACGACAGACATGGAGTCTTTCTTGGTGTTCATTGACGTCTCTAGGTTGTTTGACTTGCCTTTGGTGGGCGGCCCCTTCACTTGGTCTAGTGGACGCTCTTTTCCTACTCTCTCTCGTCTTGATAGATTCCTTGTATCGAGTGATTGGGAGGAGAAGTTTTCTAATGTTGTCCAGGCCACTTTGGCTCGTCCTTTATCTGACCATGTTCCGTTGATGTTGGATTGTGGTGGGTTACGTAGTAGAAGATCCCCTTTCAGATTTGAGAATATGTGGCTTCGGTCTGAGGGATTTCTAGAGAGAGTCCGATCCTGGTGGGTGGGGTATGGAGTGGATGGCACCCCAAGTCATTCTCTTGTAGGTAAGCTGCGCCTCTTGAAGAATGATTTAAAAGTTTGGAACAAAGAGGTCTTTGGGAATCTGGTATGGAGGAAGAATCGGGTCCTTTCTGAGATTGCTGATATTGATCGGATGGAGGACCAGGGCAACTTGGTGGATTCCTTGAGAGGTAGGAGGGTGGAGTGTCAGGCGAAGTTTGCTGAGATTGCTGTCATGGAGGAGATTTTGTGGAGGCAAAAGTCTAGAGCTTTGTGGCTCAAGGAAGGCAACAATAACATGAAGTTTTTTTATAGACTTGCCAATGCTCATAGAAGGGGCTATCACATTGGGAGGATCCGGGTGGATGGGGAGGTGTTGAGTAAGGAGGAGGATATTTGCAACGGTATTGCTGATTTTTATTCTATGTTGTTCACAGAATCTACTAGATGGAGGCCTTTGCTTGCAGGGCTTCATTTTGACGCTATCTCGAGTGAGGAGTGCTCTGTTCTAGAAGAGCCTTTTTCTGAAAAGGAAGTTTTGATTGCTTTAAGGAGTTGTAACGGGGATAAAGCCCCAAGTCCAGATGGCTTTTCCATGGGATTCCTTTTGGAGTGCTGGGAGGTGGTTCGAGAGGAGGTGATTGGCACTTTTCATGCTTTTCATAGTGTGGGCTCTTTTGAGAAGAGGTTGAATGCCATTTTCATTGCTCTCATTCCGAAAAAGGGAGGGTCGCAGGATATTAAGGATTTTTGCCCTATTAGTTTGGTGGGGTGCATTTACAAGCTGATTACTAAAGTCTTGGCTTCTCGATTGAGGCAAGTTTTGGATGGCATTATTTTGGACTCTCAGAATGCTTTTATGGGAGGCCGTTATATTCTGAATTCAGTTCTTATTGCTATTGAGTGTGTGGATTCCAGATTGAGCAGTGGGGTTCTGGGTGTGTTGTGCAAGTTAGACATTAAGAAGGTGTACGACCATGTGAGCTGGAGTGGAGAGCCTTATTGATAATGGGAGATTGTCTTGGGATGTTAAGTTTAGGAGGCGCTTTCAAGACTGGGAGATTGAGGAGGTCAGTCGTCTTTTGGATTTGTTATATCGTCAGGTGGTTGTGGTTGGGGATTCTGATTGTTGGCTTTGGGATCTTAACTCTCAGGGTCGTTTTGAGGTCCGGTCCTTCTTTAGGTGTCTTACGGTTGGTTCTGGAGGCCATTTCTCTTGGAAGTTTGTTTGGCGATCTAAGGCTCCCCTCAACGTGGCTTTCTTTGCTTGGACTTCTGTCTTGGGTGGTATTTTAACCCAGGATAATTTGAGGAGGAGGAATCAGGTGGTGGTTAATCGCTGTTACTTATGCCTGTGTGATGAGGAGACAGTGGATCACCTTCTTTTACATTGTAGTATGGCTAGGGACTGTTGGGATTTGATGCTTGGGTTATTTCGGATTCCCTGGGTCATGCCTAGATCCTCTAAAGGGTTGATTGAGGCTTGGAGAGGTTTTTCAGTGGGGGCTCTCATTCGGGATGCTTGGAGGGCTACGCCTCTTTGTATTTGATGGTGCATTTGGCTCGAGAGAAATCGGAGATATTTCGATGGAAAGGAGAAGCCTATTTCTATGCTTAAGTTCTCTATTATTTCCACTCTTTTTTGTTGGGTTTCAAGAAGAGATTATAGATCTGTAAAGGAGATTGTTGTTTTTTTGGCCTCTTTGAAGGTTTGAGGCGCTTCTTGGCCTTGTGTGTTTCTTAGGGATACGCTCCCCTTTTGAGCGCCTTTTATAAAATTTTTACTTTTCAAAAAAAAAAGATTATTCTCTTTGATTAAAGAATGAATTCTCTTTGAAATCATATGTAAACATTAATGGTTGCAGTAGAAAACACATCTGCATTCTGGCTTGTGTAACTTTCAGTTACAAAAAGTTTAATTTTCTCTCTCAATTCTTTGAGTTAAATGAGAAAAACTGTGTTTCCTTGTTTTCATACTATGTTCTATGATTAATCAATTATATGTAAAATGACCTATTTAACCTCATTATCAGCTGAAGCAATTTCGTTGGAGAAGTCTACTATATGGGAGACTATTAACAAAAGTTTTGAGACATGGATTTGTCCACTTGTTTATGCTCTTATTGGCTATTGCAATGACGTGATTCTAAGGTATCCCTTTTCTTCTTTGGAATGACTACTCTAACAACATGCCTGTTTGTGTGTTTTGGGGTTTTCTTAGACTCCTAGCAATGAATAGCATGTGTGTAGATTTTGAGGTTTCTTGGATTTAGCTTTTCAGTTTATGTTTGTAATTCAATAGATTCACGAGTTGCTTTCAGTTTATGTCAAGATATTGCATTGCTGAAAGCTGAAGTTGCGGAGCTTCTATTACCAAATGTTCTTGTCAATCTAGCATGCAGGAAAGATTTGGCTATTGACCTGGGCAGATTAATCTCTTCGCAGGTTATTTTCTTGAGCAGCTTGGGTTGATTTTTTATTTATTTTATCCATGCTATTAATATTGAATGTAATTTAGTTTACCTTTATGCTCTGCCCCACTTGCTGCGATTGCTACCACTGTAGGAAATTGTATGGAAGACGGTGGATGTTAAAGGTCACTTTGAAAAAAAATCTCATGCTTGCAGCATATTTCATAAAGAATTATTCATGTCATGGTTCTTTTAAGTGTGTTTTCCCTTTTATTTGGATTATTAGGGTGGTAATGGTGTACTATGTTACCTGGACTCGTGTATGTGTGTCGGGGATGGGTATGTATCCATGTGTCAGATGTGTCAAATCTTCAAACTGAAGGATATATAGACACTGCTAAATATTCATATTATATAATATTTTATTTTATTTTTTAGTGTAAAATAATAGCTTTATGTAGCATAGTGTCTAATATAAACTTTTGTGGAAATTCTGTTCGACTAAATTAGATTTCTTGGTAAATAATTTGTTTAGTGCTTATTAAATTAAGGAATTGAAAAAAGAAAAAGAAAATCCTTTACTTATTATGTAAGACTTGTGATGACTGACTAATTTGATAGCCTTGAATCATCATCCTAGATGCAATTAGAAATTTAGATATTGTCAGAGAGAGAGAGAGAGAGAACAAAAAGAATTCACAGGGGGAGTGTTAGAGAGTTCGTTATTTCTTCTAGTTGTTAAAGAGTTTGTTATTTCTTTTGATCATTAAGGGCACTATTGTAATTTTACTTATAAAAAAAAGGCACTATTGTAATTTTATCTTCTCGATATATAAATTGGTGAGATGTGTCAAAAAACCTTAATTCAATCTTATCCTTCTCAGAATTCTCTTCTTTTTCTTTTCTTCCTCATCCTGTCTATTTCTACAAACACAAAATCCTTTAAATTTAACTCAAACAATAGTCAAAGAATTTCAGTTGACATGAGTTTACATTAATATGAATCTACTTTAGTCCTCATGCCTTTTCTGTTTGAATTATTCTCCTGATGGTAGCCATATTTTTTTTCAAGATAGCATTGTTTCTAAACTTTAAGTAATTAAAAGTGGATTGAAATGAGCTTCAACTTGATTGGCATGCTATTTCTTGTCTTCTTTGGCCAGAATTCTGTATGCCCTTTTGATTTATATTTTCCTCTTTCGAACAATTGCTATATATCTATCTATATATACACATATATATTTGTTGCAGAGGTTAAATTTAATTGAAGGATAAATGAACTTAGAGTTTGCATGTTGATATTACCTTGGCTTTTATTTAAAAACCATCGTATCTCTTTCATAGTACACACAAGATTTATTATCTTTCATGGAATGTGCAGGTGCGGGAAAATATATTTACAGAGTCCAATAAATTGTTCAAATCGACTCAGGTGATCTTGGATGCACTTAATGAACTCCGACTATGTTATGTCATGGAAAGAGGTGCTTCATCTTCAATTCCACTCAATCGAGAAAGTTCAATGGTTAGTGCACTACACAATGACACAATCAACGTTGTTTAGTTAATGCGTTTTGATTTTTTATTGTCTTTTTCTTATGTTCTTAAATTTTGTGGTGGCTCACCAATAAAATGTGATCCTTCTGATTGTGCCGTGATTGCCTTAATGATGGTTTATATAGCCACATATTCCAAACTAAATTGCGGCTTTGATATAACTGAGTTGTAATATATGTTGCTACTTGCTATGTTGTTGTACAACCCCTTTCTGTTCTCCAAAGAATTGGTTAAATTAAGTAAAGGCATGTTAAAGAGAGAACTTTTGTTCAGTAGTGAAAAATGTGATGGAAGAGAACTAAGGTAAAATTAAAAGTGAAGTTCTCAATTTTTGGCCTTCATGTGGCTCCTGCTCAATTTTCTAGAAAGAAACCCAAAATTCCTCTTTAGATTGTAAAGGATATATATTTTCTCTCTGTGTTACTGGCATTGTATATCGAGTGTTCCATTAGTATATCATTGCCTTGTTATTGTCACCCTTTCTACAATCAGGTCTCATCTCGTTATAGCCACTATTACGACAATATGTGATGTCTATTATGACATTTACAGTGTCTAGGAGTGACTAATGAGCCTTTTTGTGTCAACCCAGAATTATTGATTTGGATGGCATATTTGTTTAAACTGTGGATGAATGTCCTAAGAAGGCATAGTTAGCCTTAATAATTTTTATTGCCTGATAAATACTATGATAACATTGCCATTACTAGTACCACATTGGATTTCTAAGTAGCTTGCTTCTATGACACCAAAGTGGTGACAGTTTATTATATGCGTGAAGATATTATGGAATACCAATGGAACCAACAAGAATTTAGCGGTGGAAGAATGTGAGAAAGCTATGACATCAATTCCGAATGATATTGATATATTTTTTAAAATAATTTATTCATATGGCTAAAAAATAAAGAAAGAGTCTAAAAGCCTGGGTTATTGTGAAAGATTTATCATGGGAGAGAGAACAAAGAAAGGGTGGCAATTGCTTGGACATCCAATGGTTATGTAGAGAAGTTTGGGCTTTTGGGGCGAGTTTTCAGGACATAAATGTTGCTTTTGGTGTGCAGGAATGGAATGCCCATTCCAACCATTCCTTTGTTTGGTATGCAATTTAAAGTGGGAATGGTCATTCCATTGGAATGAAAATTGGTTCCACAACTAAACCTATGGAATGACCATTCCATTCCTAAGTAAATTTTTTTTAAAAAAATCAACTTCCAAAAACTCCCTCATGTTCCAAGTCTAAAAATCACCACCATCTTCCACCACAACCACCTCTACCTTTCACCACCACCACCACTACCGCCGTTTGCCACCACCGCCACCGACTTTCACCACCACACACCGCTTTCCACTACCGCCACCGCCTTTCACCACCGACACCGCCTTCCTTTGCCCCAACCACCGCCGCCGCCACCCCCTTCCACCAGCACCACTACCGCCTTCCACCGCCACCACCTTCCACCACCACAGCCACCGCCTTTCACCACAGCCACCGCCTTCCACCACCACTACCGCCACCGCCACCGCCTTTCACCACCGCCACAGCCTTACACCACCACCGCCGCTGCCGCCGCCACCTTCTACCACCACTACCTTCTGCCACCACCTTTCACCACCACCGCCTTCGCCTTCCACCACCACCGCTACTGCCTTTCACCACCTTCCACCACCGCCATTGCCTTCCACCACCATTGCCGCCACCGCCACCACTACCACCATCTTACACCACCACCGCCGTCGCCGTTTTCCACCACCACCGCTTTCTGCCACCACCTTTCACCACCACCACCGCCATCGCCTTCCACCACCTTCTACCACCACCTTCCACCACCATCGCCGCCACTGCCTTCCACCACCATCACCGCCATCGCCTTCCACCACCTTCCATCACCACTACCGTCATCTCCACTGCCTTCCACCACCACCACCGTCACCTCCATTGGCTTCCACTACCGCCACCTACACCACTACCACCACTCTTGCCACCGCCTTCCACCATTGCCATCGCCGCCGACGCCTTCCAACACCACCACCTACACCACTACCGCTTTCCACCTCCACCACCATCCACCACCGCCACTACCACCATTTATTTTTAAAAAATTATAGAAGAATGTCATTATGTTAATTTAATTTATTTTTTAATAACAGGGATATTTTGGAGAACTTAATTTGAAATTTATTCCATTCTAAATTTAAAATTGGTCTAACCAAACATTAGAATGGTTATTATCATTCAATTCCTAGACATTTCATATTTACAACCAAACAATAGAATGAGAATGACCATTCCATTCCATTCCCATTCTCATTCCATTCCCATTTACATTTTATTCCATTCTCGCACACCAAACGCAGCAAAAGAGTTTTTGCTGAATGACAATGTGGTCTGGATTCTCTATAGGAGGAAGGTTGATTATCTTATAGCAACTCCTTGAGTTTCTGCTTCCCATTGCTCATGAAAAAGAGTGTGTTGCCATGAGCATGACTTCCAGCATGTGGTTGTGGTATTAGGTGGATTCTTTATTGGAAGGGCAGTTTCTTTGGCCTGAATTATTCTTTTGGAAAATTCATAGCGTCTTCAATGATGCAGTTTGAGAAGTTTGAAGCGATACAGATTTGATGGAAAAAATTTCAAGTACTTTTGTTTCTTGACTATAGAAAGGGGGATTCACATGATTTATTATTAGTGTGGATCGCATTGCATTATTTTTGGTTTTGCTTAATCTTTTTTGTTTGGGTGGTTCTCCTTAGGTTCTGTTGTCCGTTAGAATACTGATTGCTATTTTCCTGGTTTGTTTTATTTATTATATCATAGCTCATGTCTTATCTTTGAATATGTAAACTGATAGTCATGACTTGTGTACTAATTTCAAAAGAGCTTATAATGGTTTTTCGTGTCAATGTAAATATTGTTACAGTATGCTCATTTGCTCTAGATCGTACTAAGATTTATGTTACACTGATTCCACAGTCTGCTAAGCCATCTAGTTATGGCTCCAAAACTCGTTCCACCTCTGCAAAGGCAAGAGATTTTACTGCTACATCGACTATGTTGGTAATGTCAACGTCAGTGTGGGACAAGGTATTACTTTTTTATGCATCTATGCATACAATAGCTAATGGAATATGTTCTAAATTGGATATCTAGTTTTGCTTTTTGAACAGTTGTGTAAATTACTGTTCGTTCTTATCTTTCATAAATGTCATTGTATTGAATTACATCCAAGCACTTGGAATTCGGAAGACCCTAATCTTTTCTTTTATCACAATTCAAGCATTTAATGTGTTATGATTATCAATCTCAAAGTTTAAATTAGTTATTAATTTGATTCCAAGATAATTATTAGAACTTTGTATGTTCCATTTATTTTTATGTATAGATTTAAAAATACTTTTGGCTACTCATCAAACATTATCTTAGTTGTTATAATCTTATTTAATAGTTCTCTTAGCCAAGACACCCCAATATCTCCTAAACATTTCCAAACCTCAATAGGGATTTCATTTGGCCCTAAAGCCCTTCCTATTTCATCTTTCTTGGTGCATTTTAACCTCGCCCTCCTTGATCCTATAAAAAAAAATGTTATTCCTAAGCTTACCACATTCTAAACCTAAACGTCCTTACCAACAGGCCAGTGGCCTAGCGGTACCAAACTCCTACTTCTCAACGAGAGGTCAGGGATTCGAGCCTCGGTGGAGCCATGTGTGTGTGGGTACTCAACTAGGAAATGGCACTTTTTGCAAATAACACTTTTTGAGATGAGATTTTGCTTATACTGTAGAGATGTGGACCATGAAAATAGCACTTTTTGCAACAAGCTTTAGTTTGTCACTTAAATCAACACATTGGCTATGATTTGATTTTTTTTTTTGCAATTCTCTATTCGAGATTATTCTTCTAGTAGTATTTTATTTCTATATATTATTAATAATAATAATTATTATTATTGTTTTGTCAAAGTTTGTAAAATGTTTAGGACTGTTTGTCAGTTGCAAAAATTATATATAATGTTCAACTAATGAGATAAAATTTTATTTGTCAAAATGTAGGCTTCAATATCTTTCTTGACTTTACTACACAACAGAAAACAGCTATTCTGTATAGAACTTGTGCTGAACCGTAGTTCACATGTAATATCACTGTAGCATAGATTTTGATATTTTTGTTAGTGGTAATCTTCTTTCTAATGATTTTTTTATTTTTATTTTTATTTTTTATTTATTTACTTTTATAAATAAGTACAGTTAAGAAAATTCTTTTTTCTTTTTGTTGGTTTTCAAATCATAGCACCAACTTTTAGTTTATAGGTATCTCCTCCGCCTTTCAAGAGGAGATTGAGGGTTCAGGTGGGTGTGTTAGCGTAGCTTTTCCATCAACCAAATATATATATATATATATATATATATATATGATATATATATTGAAGAAAAGGAAAATCATAGAGTTAAATTTCTGCCTTCTTTCTTTTCTTTCTTTTTTTTTTTTTTTTTTTTGTATAAATGTTGTAATTTTTTCTACAAGTATATAGATATTGTCTTTTTCTTTTACTTGCATATAAAATTTTGAAATTTGTGAAGCATCTAGGGCTTTGGGGTGCCAAGGGAGGTGTCCCTAGAGTACATCTCTTCATTCCCACTCAAACAGCATACCAATGCCATACTGCTTGTCTTCCTGTCATAGGTGGACATTGCTTTAATCATTTAAAGTACTAGACCATTCATAATAATCCCCTATTAACTATGATTTAATTTGGCGCTTTGTGTGGTAGTTAAAGCTCAAGCATACCAATGCTTGATTCCCATTCGAACAGCATACCAATGCTATACTACTTGTCTCCCTGTCAAGGGTGGACATCGCTTTAATCATTTGAAGTACTAGACCATTCATAATAATCCCTTATTAATTATGATTTAATTTGGGGCTTAGTGTGTTAGTTAAAGCTCAAGCCACCAAGCAAGATAATGAGGATTATTTGTTTATGGGAGCAACCATTTTTGTTTGTGGATGTTAGGTATTTACCTAGTGTAACTTAACCAGCAGTGCTGGGACTGGATGTCCATAATGGCCTTTAACAGCCATTCTCTTGGTTCTCATAATTCAAAATTTTCTTGTATACAGTGCTTTAATTTTCATCTCTCGTGCTCTTTTGTCTTCCCGTATTTCATAATTGAAATTTCCAAAACTGGAGCACGTACAAAAAAACAGCACTCTTATGTTCTATTCTTTTCCTATTTGTGTCACCTTGATTAGGACATAGGATATGATTTAAAAAAGATATGCATGCTGTATTTGATTACTTGTTAACTTTTGCTTGCTCCTACGGTATGTCAAATTACATAAAACTTTAAGTTAATTTTAAAAGTAATGAATTTTTCATTAAATGTTAATGATAATAAAAATAAGCATGTGGTTTTATATGACCCTAGATTGAGCATTTTGGGCATACAGGATTCATGTAGCCGGTCCTAAATATGAACAAATTTGTAATTGGTTGCTTTCATAGTTGTTAAAGGCGCCGAAGGCGCTCGCCTGAGGCGCAAGGCACCTCCAGGCGCCACCTTGGCGCCTTGATTGACTTAAGGCGAGTGGTTTGGGATAGGCGCGCGCCTCTTAGACAAAGGCGCAAGGCTACAGGCGAGATGCAGGCGCGCCTGTGTGAAAAATGGGTTTTTTTTTTTTATTATCTTGGTTGTGTTACTTGTATCTGTTTTTTATTTGTTTATTTGTTGTTTTTATTTGTTTATTACAAAATCTACACAACTTGCAAGTTAAAAAGCATAAAAAAAAAAAAGAAAAAGAAAAGAAAAGAAAGGAATAAAAGAGCAAAAGGAAAGTGGAAAGAAGAGAGTCAAGACTGAAGAGACAGAGAAGAGAGAAGTACGAGTGATCTGCGAAGCGCCGAAGACTGGATCTGTCAGATCTGCATCTGTGCCGAAGCCTGGTAAGTTCTCCTTCCCTCTCTTCTTCTTCTCCTTCTTCTTCTTCTCTCCTTCTTGCTTCTTCTTCTCTTCTCAGTTCTCGGCAATTTTTTTTTTTTTTCTCTTTTCTTCTTCTTCTTCTCTTCAGTTTTTCTTCTTCTCTCGGCTCTAGTGACTCTAGTCACTCTCTTGCTCCTTTTTATTTTTTTATTTTATTCTGCTTTGAGCCGAGTCTAGGCTCTTCTTTTTTTATTTTTTTTTCTCTATTCTTCCTTGAGCCGAGTCTAGGCTCTTCTTTTTATTTTTTTTATTTTTTTCTTCTTTGAGCCGAGTCTAGGCTCATTTTTCTTTTTCTTTTTTTTCTTTGAGCCGAGTCTAGGCTCTTCGTTTTTATTTATTTATTTTCTCTATTCTTCTCTCTTGGCTCTTTCTAGTCTCCTCTTCTTTTATTTTTTTATTTTTTATTTTTTATTTTTCCTCTATTCTTCTTCTCTTGGCTCTCTCTAATTTAACTTTCCTATTTCTAATTTTGTGGATTTAATAGGATATATTCCCAATGATATATGAGTGTAACTGATATTTTTAATTTGTTGATTTAATGGATTCTAGTAATCTAGTTCGTTGATTCAACTTAATTGTGTCACAATTTATTTTGCCTCATCTTTCTAATATGCCGATAATTAGTGAATAATGATAATTAGTGAGATAATGATTTGTTGGCAGTTGGCTTACTCACCTAAATTTGTCAAAAAAAAATAATCCGAATCTCTTTACTTCATACTTTATATAGAACAATCAATGCGTTTCTGCTTTGTGCAAGAAATTTCTTTAGTTGAACAGACTTGGATCATCACATCACCCATTCCTTGTAATCCCAATTGCACAGTCTCTCACACACACAACTGCAGGTCTTCATTGCATCATTAAATTAACCTTGTCACCAATATAAGATCAAGGTTGAAGGTGCATCAGTCTACACTTACCAAATTTGGTTTTTTCTGGTCTGTGCAAATACAAAACCACAGGAAAAGCAGAGTTACAAACTTACAAGAATATATATGGACAGGGGTAATGAAATTAACTAATATATATACATATTATTTTAATATTGGTTCGTAGACTTACATCTAGCAAACATGGATATCAAGGTTTTGGCATCTTTATGTTGAATATTTAACATAAGTAATTTATTTAGTTGACTTTTGCATCTTTATATATACTATTGCATCTATAATGCTTTATTGGGTGGGTTTTTTTTTTTTTTTTTTTCAACGTGCGCCTTGGTTCAGTCGGGCGTGCGCCTCGCCTTGCGCCTTGCGCCTCAGGCTCCGGGAGGCATTTGCGCTTTTGTGCGCCTTGAGCCTTTAACAACTATGGTTGCTTTAGTATCTTGTGCTCAAGTGCCAAAGTGATGTTTGGATATTGACATTGTATTTCAATGGGTTGAGATGTTATGAAGAATATATAAAATTGTAATTCATTGCTGCTGAGGAATTCAGTTCCCATGACAAAGGGTGTTCTACATATTTTTATTGCCCTTTCTTCTTTCCATGTTGTACATGATTTACTAGATTTGATGGTACACTTGAGAAGTAGATTTGGATGCCTACTGAACTACATAGATGCTTACATACATACATATCTTTGTATATTAACAAATTGTTGTTATGTTACGTTATAATGTTTTAATTCAGTGCTCTTTTCTGACTCTGATGTATTTTGCAAGGTTTATTGGCTTTCCATCGATTATCTTGTCGTCGCTAAGTCGGCCATCGTGAGTGTTAAAATCATAATGTTCTTTCCCCTAGGACAAGGGAAGCTTTTTGATAATTTCTGTTGTTTTATGTGCACTCTAGTTTCTCTAATATTGTAGCCGCCCTTTTTTTTTTTTTTTTTTAGAGTTGTGGCGCATACTTTACTGCAGTTCTCTATGTGGAACATTGGTGTGAAGAGCATTTTAACAGCCTTACATTGGGGAGCCCAGATTTTTCCCAACTTGATGTCGTAAGTTTATAGTGGACGTGGTGAGATTTTATTATTTTATAATGTGTTGATCTTTGTTTCAGACATGTTCGTGGTACAGTTGTGTCTAGAGAAACAAACTGATCACCATAGAATCGCATGGTCCTTCATTGCCTCCCCCTTCTCCCCTCTCCCAGTACGAGGATTCCTTTAACAACTTTCCATTTTTCTTTTCACTCCTTTTATTGCCAGCTGCCTCGCCACATTGAAATATTAGTTTCGGCAGTCACTCAAATCAACGAACCTGACAGCCTGTATGGGATTATCCAGTCACACAAGGTTTGTCAACATAAAATTTGTAGATAATTATATGATTCTTTCTTTCCCATTGTTACAATCTTTTATGCTGTGAGGCTTAATAATGCACATTGTGTCGTCAATCTCTTGTTCATAAGTTTTACATGGAGAACTAATTAGAGTTGATCCTGAAGTAGTTTTTAAATGGTCCAATGCCTCCCCTATAGTCCCCCTTTCAAATAAAAATAAAAATAAAATAAAAATCCTCCGTTGTAATTTTACTACGTTTCTGACAAAGAATCCTGGTTAAAAAGCTAAAAGGGAAAGAAAATATATTAAATTACAAGATGAGGGTCAACCAAATGAGAAAGTTGTGAGAATGGAGAGGTTAGCATGACGTCAATCTACCCAGGGGGAGGGGTGAAGGGAGAGGGGGGAGATAATGGAGAGGTTAATATGACGTCTAACTACCTTGGAAGAAACGTAGTTTAAACCAAGGAACAATCCCTTTAGGAACACTTCACTATCGGAGTGTTTGTGGGGTAAGATCAATCCCTTTAGGAACACTTCAATGGCATAAGATTTTCGACTGGCTTGGATAGAACAAGAATATTGTTTTCCAAAATAACCACTTTTGTATTTTCTGCCTCCCACATCTCATAATGAATACTTGTGGGGCTGATAACACATGTATTTTATATAACCTAAGAAGCATGGACACGGATATGGAACACGGATACGACACGACACGGCAAATCCAAAGAAATTAAGACACGGACACGGCAGGGACATAGTGAATAGTATATATATATATTATATATATATATATATATATATATATATATGATGTAGTACTTTAAAAATTACTAAGTGTTACTATTTTTCATCAACCTCATAATGAAAAAAATACACAAATCATAACTCATCTACTGTAATAGTGTAATGACTGGCCCTTAAATATCTATTTGTTTCATCTAAAATTGCATATTAACCTGACAAGTTTAAAATTATTATGTACTGACCACATAAGTGAGTAAAAGTTGTTAAATAACTTCATATATTTATACTTTAACCCAATTCTCTTTCAAAAATTATCTTTTAGACCCTTGAAAATAAGACACGCGTGTCAGACACACACCCTTGGCGTGTCGGACGCTTGTCCGTGGAGTGTCTGTGCCGTATCCGAAAATTAAAAAAAATTAAAAATTCCAGACACGTTTTTTGGTGTGTCCGACACATGTCGGGGCGTGTCCGACTCGTGTTGTTGTCCGATACGTGTTGGACATAGATTCTTCGCCCATTTTGGCATGTCCGTGCTTCCTAGTCTATAAGTGACCTGAATTTTGTTTGTGTGAGATAAATCAAACTGAGGAATGAAAAATTGCTTATGGTGAGCAATATTTGACAATGTGTCTTTTAGGATGATATTTTGTATAAAATCTTTCTTCATTTTGCTGCAATTCCGCATTTTGGATCAAGGCTTCAAGCACCTCATATTACACTTATAATACCACCCACACACACACTCAAATTATATCTTATCATGTTCTTCTTTTAATTTTTATTATTATATTTTACATGGTGAATCTTGTGATGGTAATGACAGTTGACCTCTCAAATCATTACATTCGAGCATGAGGGAAATTGGAGTAAAGCTCTCGAGTACTACGACTTACAAGCAAGGTCTGATGCAGTGGTACAAGTGGAAGGATGTTCCAAAAAATTCTCTCCTGAGCATTCTCAAACGACAGGTTCTCTATCCATTTACAATTCAGAAGATAAGATTAAGCAAAGGAAACCATACAAAGGGCTGATTAGATCTTTGCAGCAAATTGGCTGTACTCACCTATTGGATTTGTATTGCGAAGGATTGACTTCTCGGAAAGACCGATTAGAGCATGATTTAGAATTTACTGAACTTCAGGTTTGCCTCATAATTTTAAGAATGTGTTATAAATGTATGCCCAAATGCGATTATCAACATGTTATTTTGATGTTTGTGGATATACAGATGCTTGGTTATGTAATAGTCTTTGTTTGAAATTCCTTGACATTATGTTTACAGAACCCCTTGCTTTGTTGATCAAATATTTTTGCAGTATGAGGCTGCATGGCGGGCGGGAAACTGGGATTTCTCTTCGCTTTATGTGGAAGCCAATTCTTGTGCGTCTAGCCAAAACATTAGAAGTGATCATTTCAATGAAAATTTGCACAGGTAATTCCTTGAATACTCACATGTAATAGGAGATGATTCAACATTACCGCCCACTTATACGGTCACTTTTTTTTTTTGATAAGTAAGATTTTATAGAAGTCGCTCAAAAGGGGAGCGCTCCAAAAGAAGACAACAGCCGTCCAAGACGACACTGTAGCTTTAAGCCATCCATAAAATCCAAAAGAGAATCCATTGAATTACAGTCCCGCCCATTTACCCAAAAGAATAAAGAAGTAAGAATACTGTATTTAATATCCCAAATGGGAGACTCTTCTCCCTCAAAAAATCTCCTATTTCTCTCGCGCCACAGACCCACCAAATACAAAGGGGAGTGGCCCTCCAAGCATCTCTGACTTGGCTCTCCACTTATATGGACACTTTTCTTTGGCATTTGGACTAATAAGTTCTCTTTAGTGGAATAGAGCCCACAACCCTTGTTTTGGTCTTCCAAAGCCTATCATATACCTACCCAAGCAATAGATACAGCATCAATTGATCCCTAATGGACATGTTAATTTGCCAACTAATATTTTAGTTTTTCGTGAGCAGATCTTTTGTTTGTTCATTCCACATTTCCACTTGATTTCCTATACAGTTATTATTAAGAGAAGTTTTTGTTTTGTGTATGTGTATGCTGTAGGGGTAAGTATGGGTCGGGTAGCTTGCGAAGCCCAAAAATTGTTTAGCCCTCAATGTTTATTCCAGCACAGCCTTATGACCACTATTACATGTTGAAGCCCAATCATTGATAGGGCTTCAACATGTAATAGTGGTCATAAGGCTGTGCTGGAATAAACATTGAGGGCTAAACAATTTTTGGCTGGCTCTGGTTTTTGAAGTTAAAACAGACCATGGTCTAGCTAAGCCTGATCATGCTGAAACAAGCTTGTTTTTCATAATAGTTGCAATGCTAACCTTTATATGATTTCATAACAATTTTTGTTCAATTTTTACAAGCTTATGTTTCATTATCCTATTACTTATTTAATATATTGATTTCTACTCGTTGGAATATCAGCTGTTTGAGGGCATTGCAAGAGGGAGATTTCAATGAATTTCATACAAAATTGAGAGATTCAAAACAGGTGATAATTTTCTCATGTTCATTTTATTTTTGAAGCAGCTGCACTTTTTATTATTCGACCATCATACTTGTTGTTTCATTTCTGTTAGGAGCTTGTGCTGTCCATCTATCATGCAAGCAAAGAAAGTACCGAATACATCTACTCAACGATAGTTAAGCTTCAGGTACTTGTTCTTCCATTCTTGTCGGTCAAAATTCCACCTTTGGTTCTGTTTATGCTTCTGAATAAAAAATCATAACCAAATTGTAGACTGAAATGCATATTTTATTTACGTGAAATACAAGAGTTTGGTTGTGTTTGATCAACACCTCTATTAGATGGGTGACACTTATTTTAGTCAACAACAGCTTATCCAAAGAAGAAGAAGAAGAAGAAGAAGGGGAAGAAAAAAAAAAAGTACTTGATTACTTGTTGAAAATTTGCAAAATATATGCAAGTAAATGGCCTTGTTTTATTTTATTTTATGTTTTTGGCCTTCAGGAATTACATGGTTAGAAATTGGCTCAAAATTGGGTATGAACAAATCGCTAGTGTGTACCAAAAATTTGGGTACAAAGGAAGGTGAAAAAGATATTTATAAGTCGACAAAAAGTAAAGATAGGTTGACTAGGGACATGGATCAAGTTAGATGCATTAAGGATATAGATGAAAAGATATTGGTTAGATAGATGGAAATAATATTTCCAACTTCTGAATGAGGAACATTTTAAAAAGATGCCTGCAATGAACATAATATGGTAATGATAAATAGGATATTGATAGAGAAATAGAGGATGAACTTAAAAATTTGGGTAATATTGTAATAATAAAGCAATGGAACTTGACGACATACAAATAGAAGTTTGGAGAACTCTAAGAAATGTAGGAATTGAATGGTTGACAAACTTATTAAATAAATCTCTAAAAGAAAGAGCAATGCCTAATGAATGGACAAAAAGTACAGTCTTTCCAATATACAAAAATCAAGGTGATATACAAAATTGTGGTAATTATCAACTAATTAAATTAATGAGTCATACAAAGAAATTGTTGAATAGAGATATGGTCCAAAATTAGGAATGATGCCACAGTGTTCAAAAACCAGTTTGGATTTATGACAAGGATCTCTATCACAAAGGCCATTTATTTACCTAGGCAATTGATAAAAAAATGTAGAAATAAACAAATAGATCTACACGTGGTTTCCATAGACTTAGAGAAGGCATATAATAGAGTTCCAAGGGATATAATCTGGTGGACTTTACATACTAAATGAGTCCCTTTAAATATTATAAATATTATTAAGGATACGTATAAGAATACAAAGACTAGGGTTCGCACCGTATGTGGAGAAACTAATCGATTTCTGTATAAAAGTGGGATTACACCAAGGATCAGTGCTTAGCCATATTTATTTACTCCAGTTTTAGATGAAATTAGAGGAAGACATCCCATGGTGGATGGTGTTTGTTAATGACATAGTGTGAATAAGGAAGGGTTGGGAACAAAATTAGAAGCTTGGAGAAATGCATTAAAAACAACACGGTTAAAAATTAATGACAAAACTATTATATATTGAATGTAAATTTAATAGAGATTCGAAAAGTGATAATATAGAAAAGGAATCCAAGACCATAGAATTACTCAAAATCATCATTTCATTACTTAGAATCAGTAATACAAAAAAAGGAAAAATAGGGAATGAGATGATACTACTAGTAGGATTGGAGTACAATGGACCGAATGGAGATGTTGTGATTAGGGTTTCTGAATGAGAGAAGAAGATGGAGAACTTAGAAAAAAATTGTATTAGAGAGCCGCACACTCTATCTCATTCTTTCTTCTTATATATAGTTGTGTACAAGGGTAAATAAACAATACAAAGACTAAATTACCCCTATGGGGTTGCAAATTATTTTAGGCTAAAGAATGGGAGAGCTAGTTGGGATGTGAGATTCCGCAGAAATTTTAATGATTGGGAGTTGATGGAGTTTACCGATTTAATGGGATTAATTTATAGGCAAGTGGTGGAGGGGGAAGGAAGGGATGAGATGGTGTGGATGGGGGATTCTAGAGGGGTGTTTTTGGTGAGGCTGTTTGACCAAAGCCTTACGAATTCGATAAGCAACGGTTTCCCTTGGAAGGTTATATAGAGGACTTCAGCTCCACTGAAGGTGGCTTTTTTCACGTGGACAGCGGTGCTTGGCAGCATTCTTACTCTTGACAATCTCAGTAAAAGATGCCAAATAACAGTTAATTGGTGTTGCATGTGTAAGAAGACGGGCGAATCGGTTAATCATCTCTTGTTGCACTGTAAAGTGGCAGCGGATGTTTGGAGTATGGTCCTGAATGTTTTTGGGGTAGACTGGATGGTGTCAAGGAACACGATGGATATGTTAGAGGCTTGGAGAGGGAGACCAATGGGCAGTCGAGTTAAAAAAGCGTGGAGGGTTACACCTCTTTGTATTTGGTGGGGGTTGTGGCACAAGTGGAACAAGAGATCTTTCGATGGAAAGGAGTCGTTGGTGTGGGTTATTAAGTCGAATATTTTGCATTCTTTTTATTCTTGGGTTAATGGGAAAAATTGCCCATCTATGGATAGCTTTTTGGATTTTGTTGACAACTTATCGTTGTAATGGCACATTTTGCATATTTTGTTTGCTTTCTTAAGGGTTTGCTCCCCTCTGAGCGCCTTTGTTAATATATTTTTACTTATCAAAAAAAAAAAAAAAAAAATTTACCCCTATGGGGTAAACTAATTACATGTGTGTTCTAATATGACTATTCCAACACTTTCCTTCAAGCTAGAGAATATATATCATATAATCCTAGCTTGGAACAAATAACATTCAATCGATTATGACCGAGAGCTTTAGTGAACTATCAGCCAATTGATCTTCAGACTTCACAAATGGAGTAGAGATGTTTCCACTCAATAATTTGCCTCGAATAAATTGACAATCAACTTCTATATGCTTAATCCTCTCGTGGAACACTGGATTAGAGGCAATATGAATAGCTGCTCGATTATCACAAAACAATGAAGAAGGGGTTTGAACTCCTAAACCAAGTTCTTCAAGAAAACGTTGTAGCCATGTCAACTCACTAGATATATGAGCCATTGCCCTGTACTCGGCTTCTGCATTAGACTGTGCTACCACTGTTTGCTCCTTATTCTTCCATGTAACTAGATTACCTCCTAAGAGGGTGTAGTATCCTGCAGTGGATCTTCTATCTAAGGGTGAACCAACCCAGTTAGCATCTGTAAAACCTTCCTCCTTAAGGTGCCCATTGGATTTATACAACGACCCGAGCCCCGGAGCTCGTTTAAGATAACGAATAATCCGAACAACAACATTCCAATGCGGCGCTCTAGGAGCTCCCAAGAACTGACTCACTACACTAACTGCATATGAGATATCGGGCCGAGTATTGGTGAGATAAATTAGTTTGCCAACCAACCTTCGGTATCTGCCAGGGTCATTAAATAAATCTCCTTCATCAGCTAGAAGTTTTGTGTTCGGATCCATAAGAACATCAACTGGACGACCACCTAACAAGCATGTTTCTTCTAACAAGTCCAACACATACTTTCTTTGAGACAAGCTGATACCTTTCTTTGATCTAGCAACCTCAATGCCCAAAAAATATCTGAGTTTGCCCAAGTCTTTAGTATGAAACCGATGTTGTAGAAACTCCTTCAACTTAGCAATGCCCGCATAATCATCACCTGTGATAACAATGTCATCCACATACACTACAAGGAAAATGAAGCCTACTCCAGTATGTTGATGAAATACTGAATGATCTGTGTGGCATCTGTGAAGACCGAACTCTAATGCAGCCTCAGAAAATTTACCAAACCACACTCTCGGAGATTGTTTCAAACCATAAAAGGCCTTCTTTAAGCGACAAAAATTGTGTCGGTACTCCCCCTGAGTAACAAACCCATGTGGTTGCTCCATGAAAGCCTCTTCAGCTAAGTCACCATGTAAGAAAACGTTCTTAACATCCAACTGAAACAAAGGCCAGTAACGATTAGCAACAATAGAAATGAGAACTCGAATAGACGAAATTTTGGCAACAGGAGAAAAAGTCTCATCATAATCAACATCATAAGTCTGTATGTATCCCTTTGCAACAAGGTGAGCCTTTAAACGCTCAATAGAACCATCGGGAAGGTATTTGACAGTATAGACCCACTTACAACCAACGGGTTTGGTACCAGAAGGCAAGGGAACAAACTCCGTGTCCCATTACGATGAAGGGCATCTTCCATTGCTTTCCTCTAACCCAGGGATCAGAAAGAGCATCCTGCAGTCTTTAGAACAAGAATAGCAGACAACTGGGATGAAAAAAGGAGAAAGAGGTTGACAGAGAATTATATGACACATAGTTAGTAATGGGATGATGAGTGACACATGACCGAGTACCCTTATGTAGAGCAATGGGTAATGAGTTAGATATAATAGACTGGGCCGGAACCATAGACTCTGAAGAAGGCGGGTAAAGCACGGTAGGCGGCTTGGGCCTGCGAGTGTAAACCTGTAAAGGAGCAGCAAATTAGGGAGGAGAAAGGCTAGGAGACAGTGAGGGAAGAGGAACAGGTGGCAAAGATGACTCTGGAGTAATATCAATAAGAGAACTGCAATTTGAAAAATACGGATCAGACTCGCAAAAAGAGACGTTAGCACTAGTGAAATATTTCCTAAGGGTATGACTGTAACACCGATAACCCTTCTGAGTGTGAGAATATCCAAGAAACACACATTTAGTGGCACGATGGTCAAGTTTGTTAAAGCCTGGTCCGAGGGTATGGACATTACATACACACCCGAAGACGCGAGGAGTAAGAGGGAACAAGGCAGAATCAAGAAAGATGACAGAATGAGGAGATTTTCCACTCAACACGGAGGATGGCATACAGTTAATTAGATAACAAGCGGTAAGGACAGCACCACTCCAAAATTGTTTAGGGACATGCATATGAAACAAAAGAGTGCGAGCCACTCCCAAGAGATGATGATTTTTACGCTCAGGCACCCCATGTTGTTGTGGGGTATAAGTACACGGGGTTTGATGAATAATGCCTTTAGCGCGGAAATAATTATCAAATGGATCAGAGGCATATTCTTTGGCATTATCAGAATGCAAAATTTTAATGGAACATTGAAACTGAGTTTT